GAAGAAGAAGAAGAAGAAGAAGAAGAAGAAGAAGACGAATGACAAAATGATGAAGAACAAACAAAGACGTAGTAGAGATGAAGAAGAACAAGTAGAAGAAGAAGAAGAAGGAGAAGAAGAAGAAGGAGAAGAAGAAGAAGAAGAAGAAGAAGAAGAAGAAGAAGAAGAAGAAGAAGAAGACGAATGAAAAAAAAAAAACCTTACCTGAGTTGGCGACGGCTGCGCAGGCAGTCTTCATCAGGGGCAAGGAAGATGACGCGGTTGGACAGCGACGACGGTGGCACGCTGGAGGGCAGCAGGGTGATGACGATGATGGCTCGGCAGGGCGAAGATAATGATGGCGCGGACGACCTTGCAACAACGGCGGGGAAACAACGAGCTGGTGCGGGGGGTTAGGGCGGAGGGCGCAGGGCCACGCGGTAAGTCCCTAAGATTCTAATTCAAAATCTTGGGACTTCCTCGCCATCGATCAACGCAGATCGACAGCCCAGGTCCCGAAAAAAAAAAAAAAAACTACGAAACGGGGCTTACCGGATCCCAAAAAATATTGGGGCGTCTGCCAAAAACTTTTTTTCCCTCTGGGCCTCCAGCCCGCAGCGCAAAAAATAATTTCAAAGCGATTTGGGGGGCGGCGCTGTGGGGCCCTGGGGCCCTGGCCGGGGGGGTCGCACGGCCGGGCGCCCCGAGCGCCCTTCCGGGTGACCTGGGGTGGCCCGGGAGCCCTGGCTGGAAAGCTACTGTAGGCAGAAAGCCATTTCTGTAAGTGTCCGTATCCCTGGCCTTGAATCTTTTCTCTTTTTCTTTTTTTCTTTTGGATGTACCATGGAATCATGGAGACAATATTAAAATAATTAACTGATACTTTATCTTACTTAGCAGAAAAGACCAGTAGTACAGTAATGATTTAATATTATTAATAAATAAAAATAATTATAATGTCCATGGACTTGTGTTCTGAACAGTAACATAAAAAGCTGTGTAAAGTCACCAGTAGTACAGTAATGATTTAATAAATAAAAATAAATATAATGGAAAATTGTTCAAATGCCCCTAAACGTTGGGATGTTTCGTCAAAGACCAGGGGTATGGTGAAGTGCCCCTATATTATGCATATGCCCCTGTTCAAGCCAAGGGAAACTTTTCGATATGGGCCTGGCTGTGGTTGCGCACTAATTTCGCATCTGCCCATCTAACAGGCAGGCATATTCTCTAACTGCCCACAGTGACAACTCTCTCTCTCTCTCTCTCTCTCTCTCTCTCTCTCTCTCTCTCTCTCTCTCTCTCTCTCTCTCTCTCTCGTGGAGATGTGTGCACTGATAGGGGCATGGGAAATAAATATTTTGGGTATTCCGAACAAGTTTCACAGGTCCCAGTAGGCGCACATGGGAAAGATGCTGGGTCAAATAGACAAGTGGGGTATTTCAAGAATTTTCACTGGTGTGAGGAAGGAATTTCGCCATGCCCCTGCACTCTTGGGGTATCTGACAAAACACCCCAAGTTATAGGGGCATTTAACCAATTTTCCCTATAAAATTCAACAAATTAGTTTTAAAACTTTTGATGCAGAAAAGACAAAAGGAAAGGAATGACAGACCTTGTCTTCTCCTGAGCAGGTCTTCCCCATAAGAGAAAAACAACTCCGTCCCGCTTCTGTGAAAGCTTACGAATTGCGTCGTCGGTGAACACCTCCCAACCTCTCTTTGCATGCGAGTTGGCTTGACTTTCGCGGACTGATTGAGTTGCACAATCATTAAAAAATGCCAAAAACGGCAAACAGAGGAATAACCAAAAACAAAAAATGATCAAGATCATCAAGGTTTTATTATTATTATTATTATTATTATTATTATTATTATTATTATTATTTTTTGGACTATTTCTGAATTTACATGTGTCATCCTGGCACAGGGGCCATGCTAATCTTCTCTGTAATAGTCTGTATCATTCCAATTTTAACGTGTCCCTAAGGACATTCATTTCTTTATCTATTATTCTTCAAATTGGAAAATTCAAAATTCAAGTTTTTATTTCAACGGCCCCCCAGCACAAGGCAATACATCCTTGAGAATATCCAGCACCAAAAAAAAAAAAAAAAAAAAAAAAAAATCGACAGAACCAGGGCTCGATAAGCCCCGAACCCTCAACCTCAGATTGAGCCCCCAAGTCCCCCTGTTGAGTCAAAAATGTCACCAAGCCATAGACATCAACTTACCTCAAGGGACTGAACTTGGGGACTAGCACCCCCACCGGTGTTAGTGTTGCTGATAAGAGCAGACACCACTAGCACCTGGGGACTGGACTATCTCCACTCTAAAGGTAACTTTTTTTTCTCCCGAAGCCATGCCTACTCTCTTTTTAACAACCACCTTTAATTGGAGGAAGGTTGAATTACAAGGAAGGTCAAGTGGCACCTCACTGGCACTCTGAACAATCTAGCACCGTCAAACACCAACCTTTAATACCATCATGTGGTCTGATGGACCACGGATCAGATACTAAATTTATTNACCGTCAAACACCAACCTTTAATACCATCATGTGGTCTGATGGACCACGGATCAGATACTAAATTTATTATGATCAGATAAAAGATGCTACACTCCATCTATTTTTAGACAAAAAAGGTGTGATAGGGTAGTCTGGTACCTATCTGTTGATATAGCTCAGTGTCAGCCTCACAATGAGCAGAGATCACTCCTTGCAAAGCGAGGCTGAACTACAAGGAAGTAAGGTAGTTATGCTGACGTGTGATCTGGTCAATCACAGATCAGATATCAAACTGATGATCAGCTAACAGATTCTACACTTGATCTTTTTAGTGCACGCAATCTATTTTTAGACCAAAGGGTGACAAAGGTTGTTCAGCACCATCCTGTTGATATAGGCTGAACTACGAAGACGCAAGGGAATCATTGCGCTGACCAATGGTTCGAGAGGAGGCTGTTCATCAAAGGTCACTCCTTTGTTGCAAAGCCAGGCTGAGCGACAAAGAAGCACAAGATAATCGGGGGGGGGGGGTTGCCAGGAGGCTGTTCATCAATGGCACAAGCTTTTCGATAAGGGTGAGTATGTGGGGGAACAGAAAAGTATTGTTTTGCACTGTGACTCCCAGAACGTTTACGAAGAGCTGGAGAAGATTAATGAGGTGTGAGAACGTACTAGAGGGTCGAGAGTGCGAATCGGCATGGGTGTTTTACCTGAATGGCGATTGTTCATTTTCTCTAGTTCTGAGTAAGGTTCCTGTGTTTGCTCTGTTTTGCTGAGATTTCAGACGCTGAGTCCGTTACGCTGTGCTTCGGGAATTCCCATTATAAGGGGCGCTGGGCCAGGTTCCCAGCACGTGATGCTCCACACGAATAGATTGGAGCTTTTAATTAAAAAAAAAAGAAAAAGAAAAAAAAAACGTTGTGCTTCGGGAGTTTCGTGTTCAGCTGATGATGTATGTGTGTGTGCCTGTTGAAGTTTGTGGTCGTCAAACATCAAAGCATGCAAATCGGGTTTTGGAATAATAAATTAATAATGGTTATTTCGCTGTATCGAAAGAAAAAATACAACGAGAAACAACAAGAATTTTTTGTAAAATAATTTAAATAATACAAAAAAAATGAAAAAACTTGAAAAAAAAAGAAAAAAACGTGATGAGATGCTAAATTTCAACAACATTGGGATCACTGAGGTAACATGATTGAATCCCTAGGTTACCAGAGTGGACCGAGACCACTTGCGCGGGTGGGCAAAAAGTGCCAAAAACACACACACACACACGCACAAAAAAAAAAAAAAAAAAGGTTTTAGTACGGTTTTACTTTCCAATTTAATTTTTTATTTTTGATTCGGCAAAGATTTTCGATGTCACGCTGGGGCAAAGGTGTCCAGTTTATTGTTCTGCACCCTTTTTTTTCTTTTTTTAAAAATAAACCACCACTACCTTTGCTAGTGTTGGGAAAAATGGGAAAAGAGACTATTCCGAAAAGTTCGGAGGTCCCGAGGAGGCTCGGCTGGAAAAAAAAAAAAAAAAAAAAGGGACCCTGTGGGCCTGCTGTGAGAACACACACACACACAAAAAAAAAAAAAAACACTAAGGCCCTCAGGGAGGTGGAAGTCACACCAGTGCTTTGAGGAATGTATCTGGCCACTGAGTGTGGACCGTGATTGCTGTTGTTTCTAATTTCTTTTCATTTCCTTGTAGTGCCCTGCCAGTGAGGCAGAGCGTATTCGACGCGGGGCAACTGACTTCCTTACTCACCTCATACTCACACTACGGGGCAACTGACTGCCTTACTCACCTCATACTCACACTAGCGCTGTAGCATCGTGTGTCGCACCGCTATCACAGCATAAGGGATGCTTTTTTTTCACACTTTTTCATCTATTGTTCACCGGACAGACACATTAGCACCTTGTAGAATGCATCTGATAGCTATCACGGCGTTAGGGAAGTTTCTTTTTTTTCCCTCTTCTCTTTGGATGCAACTGCCGTGAGTTCCAGAAAAGAGAATACAATGGGACCCAGGCTCGGCAAAACTCGGCGTTAGGGAAGTTTCTTTTTTTTTCTTCTTCTTTTTTATGCAACTGCTGTGAGTTCCAGAAAAGAGAATACAATGGGACCCAGGCTCGGCAAAACTCAGTGTGCGGCAACGGTGATGGGCGATGGGCGATGTCTGGCAACGGCAAGAGTGACGGCGACGGGCAGCACAGCGAGAATGGGGCAGCACAGCGACAACCACCTCCAACACGACGGTCACGAATGGCAAGGAGGTATGTCTGGCAACGGCAAGAGTGACGGCGACGGGCAGCACAGCGACAATAGGGCAGCACAGCGACAACCACCTCCAACACGACGGTCACGAATGGCAAGGAGGTAGGGGCTGCGTTCGAAAGCCAGCCTCTACCGGCATTCAAAATCGAATGCTGATAGAGGCTCGCTTTCGGGCGCAGCCTCACCGCACGAGAGGGAGGGCCGACAAGGCCTTCCTTGCGACTGATCCCAGCCGCCGATCTTCAAAGATCGGCAGCTGTGATAACTCTCGAGAAAGGGCCTTGATGGCCCTCTTTTTTTTTTTTTTAATTAGAGGGGTGTGTCGAGAGGCCGCCAAGAGGCCTCCGGAACCCCTGTCCGCCCGGCGGTCGACCGGCGGACCAGACTGGGTGGGCCACCCGGGACCCCCACTGGGCGAAGGCTGGGCCGCCGGGCGACCCGACGACTAACAAAGTAAAACACAACAATTCTGAAATATCTAGGGCCAGTCAGTTCTACGATGGTATTTCAAGGCTGTCGCCCTTTCTAAGTGGAAAAAAAAAGCAGCTGGATTCTGTCAAATATCCTCGACATGTCCCCTCCCTTCCCTCCTCCTTTTTTTTCTTTTTTTACGGCGTCTCCCTCCCTTCCATCCTTCAACTCAGGACATGCCGTGCTGTGCTGTAGAGGCCAGTTACTAGGCACACGGTGATTGCCGGGATCGGTCAGCCATGGTTGTCCTGAGCAAATGAGGTCTGCCGTGCAGTGCTGTAATAGTTCAGTGCATTACAATTTCAATCAACTACAAATGTCCATATTCTAATTACAATTCCATTTTATGAAGGTTGGTAGGATTTCAGCCCAAGCATCAGTTCAAGACATGGACAAGCAGCAGACCCCAGCAGGTCACCTTGGTGACCTGGGAGGCCCTGCCAGGCAAGGGCCAATGAAGGTCCCTGCAAAAAACAAAAAACAAAAAAAAAACTGAAAAAACAACGTATGTTAATCCACCAGTACTTGGCCCAGCTATCGGCCATGGAAAAGAATAGAGTAGAAACAATTCTAGTCGGATGAATTTGGGCACTCCTGTAGTGGCCCACACATTTCCTAAAATTGTGGCTTGTTAACGGGCACGACTTTAGGAAGTACTGGTGGTTTAAGCAGAAAAATAAACTGGTCTCTAGTGCAATATTTTTCAGGGGGCTTCCAGAGGGGGGCAGGGGGTTATTATTGACATATTCAGGCAACTATGGCTTCCTCGGGGAGGGGTCAAGTAAGCAAGTTCACTTATCCGACCCCCCCGTGGCTGGAGCACTTTGTGGAGTGTGTCATTTGATATTGATAGCCCACGAGCTGAACCAGATATGATGAGAGGAGGTCCTTGCCCGAAATTATAGCTCTTCCAGAGTATATTTCGACAGCAGAAAATTTCTGGTTCCAGCTTTCAGCTCGTGGAGGCAGAGCRTTTTCTGTTTGTTGGTTTCTACATAAGGTGAGTTGTCAGTCTGGAAGTATCTTGCCTGGCAGTCTGTCCAGATACATGTAGTGGAGCAAGGTCCATTCCAGATAGATAGAGAGAAGAATATAGCTTAGGTCCATTCTTGGGATTGCACCTCGGACGGCTCTGAAATCACGATTCCAAGATCCGAACCCATAACTTYTTCCACAGATTGCAGGGACGTCGCAGAAGGATATAATATCAGCAGAGTCTCATCAGAAGCATAGTGTTCCCCTCGTGGCTGAGGGTGAAAGAGCATCAGATGTTGCCAATGGTAACTGGTCCATTGGACCACAAGATAACAAATTGGAGAAGGGGCCTACCCGACCCACATCTTAGGGAAAATGCATGGCTGTTCTCCACTGCTGATCTGCACAGATCAGCAGCGGATATCCTCTGCCCGTTTTTTTTAAGAAATGGGGTCCTGGCCGATCTTTGCCGCTGATCTGCGACGATCCGCGGCCAAGATTGGCCACTTTCTGGACTCGAAAAATCCGGCCCTACAGGACCCGGTTTCGAAATTGTGGGGCAGGGCCCGCACCCACGAGGCCTCGAGAACACATACGCGCCGGCAAAAAAAAAAAAATTAAGGCCCCAGCGAAAATGCGCTGAGGGCAACCGGGAGGGAACCGGCCTGGGCCATCGACCGCTCCAACCGGGAGGACCGCGGATGGTGTAGGGGTCCCCGGTCCATCCGGGGACCAGCCCTGATAAAAAGTTAAAAAGTTTAGTCCCAGCCTCCCAGGGTCTATGCCAAATTAAAAATTGAAAATTAAATTAAAAAATAATGTAATGTACTAATGGTTTTATTTTATTTTTTTTTGTTCTTTTTTGGCCCGGCCGGGAAGGTGGTTCTCGGCCACTCTGGTAACACAGCATTAAACGTATTAAAAGAAACGCGTCTGGACGCTCTTACTCTTTATAGACAGCTGCACTCTCCGAGCCACAGATTGGATAGTAGTTCACGAGACTTGCCTTTAACCAGATGTGCATGACATCCTGAACATGGTAGTATTACAGGGAGAGATTGCTGATAAATTCCTGACAAAGAGACAGGGGGAAGCAGTGGACAGGAGAGTGAAAGCGAGAATAGGCGCCAGCGTGGACAAAACGGTGTCAGCAGGGAGTCCGGGGCAGTAGAAGCGAGAGGGCATGAAGATTGGTCACAAGAGTGGGCGTGATAAGTAGTGCGTGACTACGAGAGCTGATTCATAAACATCATCGTCGAGCAATATCGTCGCTACTTCCACATGTTTCCCATCCCTGCTGCTTCTTATCTCGTCTCT